ATAAAAACAATAAAAAAGATGGTAAAATTTATTAACATTTTAAGTATCCTGATCAAAATAAATTCAGAACTCAAATAAAATATAATTAAGAAATTCTTAAATTTAAGAATTAAATTCAATTAAAGTTGAAGTACATGCAAATTGCAGTGAAACCACACCCATATTCAATAAATAGAGATATATTTAACTTATGATCGCAACAAGATTTAGATAAAATAAAAAGGGTATTTGCGAAATATGTCACTTAATTAAGTTAGAGATGATCATTAATTGACCAAAATAAATTTGTAGTTCTATAAAAAGAATTGCAATATGTATTCATAATAGAAAGAATAGAATCTTTTAATTTTGCTTTTTAACGGAAGACTGAATGTTACTATTTTCTTAATTGATATTTAAATTATATTTGCATCCAAATATTAAAGAGCTCTCATAGAATAATACAAGATAAACTTTTGGGTTCCACTAAATTATAAAATATTCAATAATAGTGCAATATCTATGCCTTGTGTTAAGGGGGTTTTATTTCAAAGGATTCTTAATCATCAAATTGTTGTAATATTGAATTTAGGTTTTAGCTTTTAATTTATTTTGGCCTTAATAGAAATGATCATTATTTTTAGATAATAGGATACTTTAATAATTAATTTATTTATTATGAAAAAACCCATTAGAATATGCATAAATAATTTAATAATATTTGTAAATATCATACGATAGCGCAATCTAATATTTTTATTTAAGATTTATAATCAAGACCAACACATGGATATAATTCTTATGATGTATCTATTGCCAACTACTAATAATCAATTTCATAGTTACAACAAATGTTAATTGTGGATGATTCTTTCTACTCCATTTAATATATTTATCTTCAATACTTACTTCCATTCTTATTATATCATTATTTGTAAATATAAATGATAATTATTTATTAAATACATCTTTATTATGATGTGAATAAGTAGAACCATTTTGTTCTATTAAATATGTTCTATTATGATTTATTATTATTATACCCATACCCATAATTATCACAATCGTAAAAATAATTTTTTTTCATTATATCTCTAAATCCTATTCCAACAAACCAACGTGATCCAGCAAGTATTTAGAATGTAAATTGTATTTTCCCAGTTTTTGGAATTGCTTATTCACAAACACAAAAACAATAACGTGATTTTTCACCATTAGAAACAAGTTTGGCTGCTTCACTTACTTAACATTCACTATGTTTATAAGTATTTGAAAATGTTAATGTTTTATTATACTGATGAATCTAAAAAGAATAGAATGAAAGGAAATTTACTTTATCTAATTCCATTTTGTTAATTTTCTCTTATTCTAACTTATCTTTATGAATTTAATCAAGTTTCTAATATGCATCTTTTAGTTCTGAATCCTTTTAATTCATTCTTTTATTATAATCTGATTTGATCTTATTTTCTATAGATAATATTAGTATTAAATACATTCATCTTCTGATTATTTAATCATTTGCTTCTTATCTTATTCATATTATTATTTCAAATTGATATTTTCTGAATTAACTTGATCAAATTATTGTTTAATAGTTTAATATTCTTTCTCCTTAGATTCTAATGTTTCATTTATTTGAATGATTTTCTATTCATATTACTATTACAATGAATCGATTTGATTGTTTTCTATTTATCATAATAATAAAATTACTTTCAATTTGTATTTATTTATTAGTTTCTGTTAATTTGATTAATTCTTATTCCATTAATTGAATATTACAATACTTTTTCAATTGTGAATTATTATTTTCAAATATATTTGAGTATTCATTCAAAATATTAGTTAAATTTAAATATTAAGACTTAATCTATTCTGATATATTTGATTTATTATTATCTTTTGATATTAATTCAATATGTTATGAAATCTATTATATTATTTGAACATTTTATTAGTAATTTGAAATAGTCTAATTGAATACATTTGAAAGTAATTGATAATTCATTGCTTAATGAATGAATTCTTGAATCTCCTTTATAAAATTAACTTAATTTTTCTGATTTTCATCATTTTATCCACTCTTTTAAATTTATTAAATTGTTTCAGTTAACTAAAGAATTAATTTTCTTTCAACTATAAAAATTAATTCAAATTAATACCTGAGATACCTTTGAGAATGTCTAATGATTATGAAATATCTTATTAATCATATTATTTTAAAGATTCTAAATGAAATTAAATCTCTTTATAGAAGATTGAATCTTTATTTTTTTCATTGATAATTGTTTAATTAAGTGATACTGTCTCTTTTTCTTTTTCTATTAATTATTTTAAATCTTTAATTAATTATTCATCATCTATTGTTTAAATGGAAATTTTCTTTATTTAATTTGATTATTTAGGTTTATCAACACATAAGAATTATTCAGAAATCAATTTATCACTAATTTCATTCAATTTCTTATTATAATTCTTTCTCATTTGAATTACTTAATTAATCAAATCAGATTTTTTGCTTTTGCTCTCCTTTTTATACTCTTTTAATATTTTTTCAGATTCTTCATTGTATTCCTTCCATTATTTATTAACATCTTCAATTGTATAATATTTTATTTATGGATTCTCAGAAATACAATCAACACATACAAATCGATCTTCCATTTCCTCTTTCTATGAATCCATATCAATCATAATAATTTCCTTTTTATGAATGTTACAAACTCTACTTAAACTTGGTGTTTTCTATTCATTTTTTATATATTTTATATACATATTCATTTTTAGATGTTTAAATAGGAATCAATTCAATAAGATTATTTTCTTTAATATCCTTTATTGTTTCTTTCGTATTCTTAAATGTATCTATAGTTGAAAAATATTCAGTACAATTGAATAATAATTCGAATTGTCTTTAGATTTCATCTATAAAATTATTGTCATCTTCTAATTTAGTTGATTTCTATTATCCTTAAGAATATAATTGTGATAATTGTTTTAAATCTTCAAAGTAATTGAATTATTAATCATAATCTAATAATTCTTATTTTTCTTTTTAAATGGGAAATATATATTATTAAATTTGTTAATACATCTTATCCAAAGAATTATTAATAGATTGTTTAAAATCCATAATTTGATCTAATATATTTTTATAATAATTGAGTCTTGCTTGATTCTCTTTATTTTTGATATCCTTTTATTAAGTTTTAAATTATATGATTCTTTCTTTTGATTACTCTATTGTTGTCACCCTATTATTATTTAATTTGTCAACTAAACATTTACCGCAAAAGAATTGCACCTATGACTTATCAGATAAATCTAAATCCACTGCAATCAATTCTAAATTGTGAATTTTACAAATCATGTCCTATTGAACTTCCTGTGTTTAATTTTACTTTAGAATATTCATATATAATAATTTTACTATAAATTCTTTTATTTAATAATTAAATAATTTGCATATATTTTATAGAGATATCAAAAATATATAAATGTTATTCACGTTTGAAGTGATTTCATTCAATTATTAGAGATGATATCCTATAGTTAGAGGAATCATAAATTCTTATCAAAGAAATGACATTTTAATTGCAACATTATAGTATATCGTATCATTTATTTAGTGCATCAATAACACAACTGGAAGCTGCTACAACGATTATTTCCGCTTTGCTTAATATTTTGGCTGAATAAATCTTAAATAGTATTTTATGACCTTAGGTAATTTTGAATTGATTTTAAATCTTACATTTTGTTATGCTTTTAGGATAGAAATTAATTTTGCAATGAAAATTTCATATGAAAGATCTTTACTCTTTAATTTGCTAGCTAACTAATGGGATTTAAAATTTCACTAATTTTCTCAAAGATTTTGAGATCTTAAATAATAAGAAGTCTTACTTCTATTTTATAAATTAAACTGTTGCTTTGAAAGAAGGTAGTGTTTTCATTCAGCAAAATAACTATTAATGTATATTAGAATTATTTCTATTTAGTGAATTTAATCAATTTTTAATCGATGATATTGGAATTCTCAAAGATTTTATCAAATTTACATCAAATTGATTAAAATAATTAATTACCTGCTTTAATCGATATATAAACTGTAATTAACACTTTAGAAAATCAAATTATTGGGGATAATGGCAGAAATTGATACTAATTTCAGATATTAGAATATCTAACTTGAGGACGAAATATTTACAAATATAGTATTGAAATACTTTAGATTATCATTTGTTATGAATTTTATCCTTTTAATAAGAAGTTTCTAAATTAATTGTGGAATTCTACAAGGTCTTAGTTTTTTTTTATTTGGGAAGCCTTCCTTAATTGATATTATACAGCACGAGGACAATAATAAAAAATAATTTGAGCAATACTTCCATTTAAAGGGTATGATTGCCCTTTATTTGAAATGTGATTTATGAGCNGAATTGTCTTTAGATTTCATCTATAAAATTATTGTCATCTTCTAATTTAGTTGATTTCTATTATCCTTAAGAATATAATTGTGATAATTGTTTTAAATCTTCAAAGTAATTGAATTATTAATCATAATCTAATAATTCTTATTTTTCTTTTTAAATGGGAAATATATATTATTAAATTTGTTAATACATCTTATCCAAAGAATTATTAATAGATTGTTTAAAATCCATAATTTGATCTAATATATTTTTATAATAATTGAGTCTTGCTTGATTCTCTTTATTTTTGATATCCTTTTATTAAGTTTTAAATTATATGATTCTTTCTTTTGATTACTCTATTGTTGTCACCCTATTATTATTTAATTTGTCAACTAAACATTTACCGCAAAAGAATTGCACCTATGACTTATCAGATAAATCTAAATCCACTGCAATCAATTCTAAATTGTGAATTTTACAAATCATGTCCTATTGAACTTCCTGTGTTTAATTTTACTTTAGAATATTCATATATAATAATTTTACTATAAATTCTTTTATTTAATAATTAAATAATTTGCATATATTTTATAGAGATATCAAAAATATATAAATGTTATTCACGTTTGAAGTGATTTCATTCAATTATTAGAGATGATATCCTATAGTTAGAGGAATCATAAATTCTTATCAAAGAAATGACATTTTAATTGCAACATTATAGTATATCGTATCATTTATTTAGTGCATCAATAACACAACTGGAAGCTGCTACAACGATTATTTCCGCTTTGCTTAATATTTTGGCTGAATAAATCTTAAATAGTATTTTATGACCTTAGGTAATTTTGAATTGATTTTAAATCTTACATTTTGTTATGCTTTTAGGATAGAAATTAATTTTGCAATGAAAATTTCATATGAAAGATCTTTACTCTTTAATTTGCTAGCTAACTAATGGGATTTAAAATTTCACTAATTTTCTCAAAGATTTTGAGATCTTAAATAATAAGAAGTCTTACTTCTATTTTATAAATTAAACTGTTGCTTTGAAAGAAGGTAGTGTTTTCATTCAGCAAAATAACTATTAATGTATATTAGAATTATTTCTATTTAGTGAATTTAATCAATTTTTAATCGATGATATTGGAATTCTCAAAGATTTTATCAAATTTACATCAAATTGATTAAAATAATTAATTACCTGCTTTAATCGATATATAAACTGTAATTAACACTTTAGAAAATCAAATTATTGGGGATAATGGCAGAAATTGATACTAATTTCAGATATTAGAATATCTAACTTGAGGACGAAATATTTACAAATATAGTATTGAAATACTTTAGATTATCATTTGTTATGAATTTTATCCTTTTAATAAGAAGTTTCTAAATTAATTGTGGAATTCTACAAGGTCTTAGTTTTTTTTTATTTGGGAAGCCTTCCTTAATTGATATTATACAGCACGAGGACAATAATAAAAAATAATTTGAGCAATACTTCCATTTAAAGGGTATGATTGCCCTTTATTTGAAATGTGATTTATGAGCAAGCACATAAAATATGACTAGTTGACCCAATTCTTTATTTTAGAATTTCTTAAAATTCTCAGCTTAAAAACAATTCAAGATTAGATAAAGGAACTAATATATTACAATTTTCAATTTTCTATGGTTTAACAAAATATAAATGAGCAATTATTTTTAAATAAACAATTTCTTATTATTTTTCTTGTTTATAATATGATCAAAAATTATAAATCCCATTGTAATTTATGTAAGCTTATAATAATATTCATGGAGGTTTTGAATTATGAGAAGTATGATTAAAATATTATTCAAGATTCTAATATAAATCAACTGTTTCCTATAGAAATAAATAATTAAATTACAAAGTGTGATGTTTAATATTAGCTGTCCCTACTGTATTCATGAATCAAATGTTGAATTCTTTTGTATCAATCGTTTTTGCAGGGATCCATGTTTATTTTGCTTTGAATAATGTTTTAAGTCAATTCATGGCATTAGCATGATCGAAGACACATAAATAAATTGAGTTATTACCAAACTATTTAATGGAGATTTCTAACTAGTGTAATTTATTATAGTAAGAGATGAAATAGTTAATTTAAGTAATTATTCAGCTTTTTGATTAACTTGAAAAGTTATTATTAAAAAGATTCTAATAGAGTGTAAGAAAATTAAAAGATTTAGGAGGAAACAAATGGGAGTTGCATTAAGTAATATGATAAACTTTGATGAATTTTAACGCAAGCTACTTTGATAACTGAACTCTTCTTCTGATTACATGATCCAAAGTTTAAAATCTTTTATTTAAGAGTTAGAAGTAGATGAAGTATCATTATTTTATTATCTAGAAGATTAAAGTATAGAAATATGAAATTTTACGTTCCGTTCATTTATAGGAGAATAAATCATAATGTAAAATAATTGCCTTTAATAATGATTCTTCAATTATCGCAATTGGATTTATCAAATAAAATTAAAATTTACCGGTATAAAATACAACAAAATTCATTGCTCTGATTATATAA